GTTTTTATCATTATACTGTATTTCGATATAATTTATTATGATCTCAGATTTTAAATAGCGATTACGTAACTAATTTTGGTAGTGATGCTAGAGAGGTTATATATTGGGCCTGAGCGGGCCTGAGTGGGCCGGGCCTAATTTTAAAATCAAGCCCGGCCCGGCCCACTACTGCGGGCTTTTTTTTTTATGAGCCGGGCTTGGGCCCAAAAGTTTTTTACGGGCTTGGCTTTGGGCCCTGCCAGGCCCGGCCCGGCCCGGCCCATTCCCATCTCTATATGTAGTTATCGAGATCATCACTCAAGGTTCAAAAAAAAAAGGCTTCGGCTAAGTTTTTTCAAACTTTGAGCACTGATATTTCAACAACTACTTATCAATCGATGAAAATTTTCTTTTTTTAATTATACTGATTCATAGAATTGAAATGACAAATTTGTACCGAATTTAGATATGTAGCTATTGAGGTATTTTCGCTCAAAGTTTGAAAATTATCATCATGGTTAGGGTACTCAGACAATTGTTACTTTTTTAGTTGGATCGAAGATCTTAATTTTTTTGAGTCCTGAGATTATAAATGTAACTAGCGTAATCTCCTGTTACAGAACTGCTATTTCAGTGACTATAGTATGTGTGTTGAGTAAGTTTTCATTGGAATTGTGTCTTTACCAAGTTACTGTAAAAAAATTCTTCATAGAACTTCACTTTTTTTAAAAATAAAAAAGTTTAGCGGATAAAAATATACATATGTGTGTTAAATTTATTGGCTAATTTTTTATTAAATATTTCATTGTAAAAAAAAGTTGTTTAAAAATTAACAATAATAAGAAGAATAAAATTATAAAATTTATACTACCGTTTGTACGATGCAAAAATATGAGTGCACTTTCAGAAAATTATTCTTAAATCTACGTTTACAAATTCAATTTTTTTAATATTAGTACAATACTTTTATAACTAAGCATCATTAAAAAATATTTACCGTTAGGAATCTTTAAATCATATGATTGGCTATCGAGTACTACAAAAAGTAATTTAAAATTATTATTTTTAAATTGTTTCAAAATATACATAGTTAACTCTTTTTTATAACAAAAATTCCAACTAAATCTACATAAAGTATAAAATTTTCAATCATTCGTCAAATTTGTTTACGCTAGAACCATTAGTCAATATAAAAAGAATTTGCTTTTTATACTGCAAGTAAAATAGAATTTAAGTGGATTCAGAAATTAGATAAGGTATGTTTAAAAGTATTATCTAATTTTTTATACATTAGACTAAGGGTCTGAAATGCTCATCATACCAAATCATTCATTTTGATTTTTATATGAATCAACATTGAAATTTTCATTATGAAAAGATTTGTTATAAAAAAGAGCGACTATTAAATTTTATATTATAAAATAATACCTTCTGCTTCGTGTGTATTGGTATTTTTATTAGCATACATAGAGTTTGAATGTTTTACCAAATTTGCTGTTGAGTTTTTATTTATTTCATCAGAATATAAGAATTTCTTTTTTATATCTTGCTCTTCAATAGTTTTTGAAGGCTCTATCATCATACGATGCCAATGATAAAGTTCTAAAGTAATACTTTTAGCGCTGGGTCGCTGTCGTGGATCTGAATTCATGCATTTTTTAGCTAGTTCAATATAACAATCAGGTGTTTTTGGTGCAAACTCTGGTAATGATCCATTCAAAGTCATATTTGGAATGTCTTCATCTGGAATATCATAAAAAGGCCTTTTTCCAGTTGATAGTTCTGACATAATGGCACCTAATCCATATATATCAGCGGCTTGTGTAAATTGTTCATTTCTTAAAACTTCAGGAGCAATATATCGTAAAACGCCATAAACTTTTTCAGAAACTTGCTCATTTTTTCTTCTAGATAATCCTAGATCTGCGATATACGAATACAATTTCTTTGGAAGACCATTATTATCCAGATGCAATAAAATATTTCTACTATGGATATCACCATGAATAATCCCAGCTTCATGGATTTGAGATAAATCATAAGATATAAACAAAAGTTGTTTTAGTTTACTTTCCCACTTAAATTCTCTAAAATTGGATTCTAAATATTCTTGAAGGTTTCCATTATTAGCCAATTGATATACTAAAAAATATTTATTTTTTATCACATCATGTGTCAATCCATAAATCATAAGTCCAATACCCTTTATTCTACATTGCATACAAAATTCAAACTCTTTTAAACATTCAGAAGAATTAGAACCTTGCAAGGTCTTAAGTGCAACTACACTTGATGGTTTACGCTGCCTCACATAGCTTGGTTTTTCATAATCATGAACTCCACGAACCACTCGTATACCATCTAACCAGGTTGCTGAATATACAGTACCATTCCCTCCTTCACCAATTTGTTTTATGTTGTCAAGTCTATCATATGGAATCCATTCTATTGCGTCTTTATATGTTAAAGTTTGAAGTTGATATCTTTTTATACAATTATCAACTTCTATATCTCCACTTGACCATCCTTGCGTAAGTAATATTGGATCACACTTTGAA